GCAGTGCGGTGGAGGCCGGAAAGGCGCTCGACAGCGCCCCCCCCCTGGAGATAGCACCCTGGCGACAGTCGGGAGCGCTGCAGAAGGCGCGCTCGCGCTTGGAGACGTTCCTCACAATACGTAGCACCCCGCAGTTTCCCATAAAAGTGAGGAGGCGGGCGCGGGCGACGCGGGCGACTCTGGTTGGCTTGTTCAATGAATGTAGTTTGGGTCGCGGGTGGGTCACGGGTTATCCACATCCACTTGGAAAGAATTCAAAAACAGCCCGCCGCAGTCGCCGAACATTTAGATTTGTACAGTGAACGCGGTTTGGGTCGCGGGTGGGTCGCAGGTTCTCCACTTGGAAAGAATGCAAAAAAATCCCGCCGCAGACGCCGAACATTTTGGGTGGGTCGCGGAGTGGGTCGCGGGTGGGTCGCGGGTGGGTCGCGGTGGGTCGCGGGTGGGTCGCGGGTGGGTGGCGGGTGGGTCGCGGGGTGGGTCGTGGGGGGGGTCGCGGGTGGGTCGCCGGTGGGTCGCGGGAGGGTCGCCGGGGGAGTCTCGGGGTGGGTCGCGGGCAGGTCGCGGGCAGGTCGCGGGTAGGTCGCGGGTGGGTCGCGGGTGGGTCGCGGGTGGGTCGCGGGGTGGGTCGCGGGTGGGTCGCGGGGTGGGTCGCGGGTTGGTCGCGGGTTTGGTCGCGGGGTGGGTCGCGGGCGGGTCGCGGGGCGGGGCGCGGGTGGGTTGACGACAACAAACAACAAACAACAAAAACCCGCATCGCGGAATTCCACTTCAGCCACGCACCCAGGGACAGTGAATGACCGTTCGGTGCAGCCCTCTCATTCTGACTGAGCCTCATGAGTGTGTATCGGGAAATGTGGCCGTCAGCTGCAACAGTCTTTAGGGAGGTTTCGAGAGTGAACAGGTGGCCGTCTGCCGCAGCTTGTCGTCCCTTCCCCCTCCTGCAGACCGGCAGGCGGGCACCCATACGGCCCCACACTCCTATCAGCGTCCCTGAGGCAGCAGTGCGGTGGAGGCCGGAGAGGCGTTCGACAGCGCGCCCCTTCCTGGAGACAGTACCCTGGCGACATTTGGGAGCGCAGCGGGGTGCGCGCCCGCGCTCGGAAACGCACCTCGCCAAATAAAGACCCAGGAATGTGTTTTGAGAAGTGCGGCCGTTAGCTGCAACTGTCTTCGGGAAGAGCTCGAGAGCGTACGCGTGGTCGTTTGCCGCGCGGTCCTTGTACTGCAACAGGAGAGCTCGGGAGTGAACGCGTGGTCGTCAGCCGCAGTTTGTCGCCCCCCCTTCCCTGAGGCTTGCAGGTGGACACCCATACGGCTCCTTACTCCTATCAGCGCCCTTGGGGCAGCGGTGCGGTGGAGGCCGGAAAGGCGCTCGACAGCGCGCACCTTCCTGGAAACAGTGCCTTGGCGACAGGTGGGAGCGCTGCACAGGGCGCGCCCGCGCTGGGAGACGTTCCTCACAAAAGTGAGCTTCAGGAGTGTGCATCGGAAAGTGCGGCCGATAGCTGCAACCGTCTTCAGGGAGTGCTCGAGAGTGAACAGGTGGTCGTTTGCCGCAGTTTGTCGCCCCCTCCCCCTCCTGGAACCCGGCAAGCGGGCACCCTTACGGCCCCTCACTCCTATCAGCCCCCCCAGGGCAGCAGTGCGGCAGAGGCCAGAGAGGCGCCTGACAGCGCGCCCCCTTCCTGGATACCTTACCTTGGCGAGAGTGCGGGGCGATGCTGAGGGCGCGCCCGCGCTCGGAGGCGTTCCTCACAGGATCAAGACTCAGGAGTGTGCATTGGAAAGTGCGGCCGTTAGATGCAACTGTCTTCGGGGAGAGTTCGAGAGTGAACACGCGGTCGTTTGCCTCAGCTTGTCGCCCCCCCCCCACTCCTGGAGGCCGGCAGGCGGACGCCCATATCAGCCTCCCTGGGGCAGCAGTGCGGCGGAGGCCAGGAAGGCGCTCGACAGCTCGCCCCCTTCTGGAGACAGCACCCTGGTGACAGGTGGGTGCGTTGCAGAGGGCGTGTCCGCGCTCGGAAAGTTTCCTCGCGGAGTAGAGCTTCAGGAGTGTGTATCGGATAATGCGGCCGTTTGCTGCAGCGGGTCTTCAGGGAGTGCTCGAGAGTGACCACGTGGTCGTCTGCCTCAGTGTGTCGCCCCCTCCCTGCCCTGAGACCGGCAGGCGGACACCCGTGCGGCTGGGGTTTCGATCTATCGTCCGATATATATATATATATATATAAATATATTCAGGACGGGCGACCGTTAGTCGCAACCCTGGCAACCCTAACAGGCTTCAAGCGGGCAGGTTGGATGGGGGAGATCGACGGGACTTTGGTCAGCCACAGCGCGTCGGCCCCCCCCTCGCCTGAAGACTGGCAGGCGGAGGCATGCGACCAGTGACTGCGCGCGGGGCAGCGCAGGCAACCTGGCCAGGGGCAAGCGCGACCGAGTAGAGAACCAGAGCAGCATGCGGAGCAAGCGCCGGAAGAGCCCGGCGAACAGGAATTGCCCGCCGCTCACGGGGAGGGCGCGGAAGTTCCGCAAGCGCAGGAAGTGAAACACGGGCCTGAACAGGAACAGGCAACCGCCCACCTCCATACCCCCCTGGCAGCCACTCATCGCCCTGGCCTCTCAGGAGAGATCCAGGTGGGTGTGATATCCCTACTGTATCGCCGCACGCCTCAAGCCGACGTTCCAGTAAGGGTGGCCGGTAGTCACTTCAGTTCGTTCTGTCCTTGGTTTCGCGTTTTGTTTTCCCCCTCTCCCCCTGTCCCCTTCTGCACTTTTCACAGACAGTGTGACCGTTGGTCACTTCCGCGGCAGCGCTCCCAATTCAGACACGCCCGTGGCTGGAGGCTTCCCTCACTTGCTGGAAGAGTCGGAAGAGGAAGGTCCTCATGTTCGGGTCGCGCAGCCGGTTGCCGCAGTCGCCCATGTGTGCCCCTATTTTTCCAGCCCCTCACGACCGGGTCCGGTCGCCACGCAGCGTTTGGCTAGCCCCCCGCCCTCAGGCCCTTGGCGTTGTCAATACTTGGCACGATGCCCTGGCTGGGGCGAGGCGCAAAGTGCCGATGCACGGCCTGCCCGTTTGCTGTAGCAGTGCTCACCCTGGCCTTCACCGCACCTGGCCGCAGCGATTTACAGCCCCCCGCTGCAGGCCCAGTGTCGGCCGGGGTGTCGGCCCCAGCACGGCACCTGGCTCGGCCTCCCCGCCCTTGGGGACCCGGCCCCCAGGCGCCGTCAATACTGGGTACGCCGGCCCCTTGGGGCGGGGCGCGAAGTGCCTTACGGTCCTGGCCGTTGCTGTAATTGTTTTCGCCTGTGCCATTGCCCAGACCTGGCCACGGCATGGCCCGGTCTCCCTGGCACTGGCCTCTCTACGTGACGTCTTCGGCTTACGCCTCTTGTCTCGAGCGCCTGGGCTCCAGTTACCGCCGCCCTCAGCGCTTGCGGCCCCGCTCTGTCCCTCGCGTTTGGCACCCACTCGGCTCCGTGGAGTCGGCTGCGGCACCCTGGCGCTCTGGGGACTTGCGTCCTGACCAGTTCCAGCACGAGTGCCTGCACTTCCCTGGCATCTGGTCCACAGTCATTGCCACAGCTGGCCGTGTCTGTCAGTGCGGCTGGCCATCTGGGGTCCTGGACCGCAGGTTCACTCAGGAGTGGTTCAGCCTTCTAGTACGAAGTTGCAAGTCCCCCGTCGGTCCGCTGCGTCACGCTGGGCTATCTTGCGGTCCCGCGCTTCGCCGCGTCCGTGGCGCACCAACCTCTGGCGCCCTGTGGCGACAAGGTCCAATTCACGTACCTGGTGATCCAGCTCCCATGGCACCCGCACGTTTGCAGTTTCCTGGCAGCCCCAGCAGCTTGCAGTCCCCTCACCCTCGGCACTGGTTCTCAGCCTCGGCGGTTGCAGCACAGCCTCGGCGCAGCTGCTTCCCCCGGCGGTAGGTCCTGCTTTCTTCTGCGCGCGCGCCGGTAGCCCGAGCCGACTCGACCCGCTGTTGGCGCCTTCGCTTGCGGCTGCGACAGAAATTATATCCCCTCCAGCCCATCGGTTCCGAGCCTCCTAACATTCAGCGAGTTCGGTAACCACTTTGGCAGCAACAGGTGGGCGCATGCCTTCGGCGAACGAGTCGCGAGTTCGCCGACAGGCAGGGTTCGGGGGCATTCGCTTATGGGCAGGCCTGTCCGACAGCCCCAAAGCTTGGGGAGTCCCAGGGCCACTCGATCACCACACCGGACACAGCAGAGATCGGGCCCGATCGCGCAATCCGATGGCTCTCGCACTCGAAGATGGTATCCCCGGTGGTGCCCCGTGCACAGCAGCAGCAGCACCCGTCTTCCTATAGTTGTTTCGCCTGCGTTGCTCCATGGTCTAAGCTAAACGTGCTGACAAGGGGGCAGAGTCGTGGGTAATCACCGCAAGCCTAGGCTTCGCGGGGCCAGAGGACGCAGCCCTGACAGGCAAGGCCCCAGCACACTTCGGGCACTGGCACAAACCAGCCCAGCTGCGCCGCCTTGGCCGGAAAGTCCAACGAGTTTTGAGCGCCGCCGCCGTGACGTCCGCCACGGCCTTTTTTGCCCCAAGCTTGGCAAACAAACCTGCTTGTGTGTTGCCCATGAACCACTAGAGCTCTTCGGCCGACGCTCCCTCTCCGACGAATCGTTCGATACTCGTGCGTGTATGAATCCATTCGACGCGGTGGTGCAGCCGGTCGGAACACAACTTGAAAATCCAATGCCACAGCGAATCGTACGTCGCCGTGCCGCAGGCGAGATAGGGATGCCACTTCACTCTTCTCACGAAGGACAGGTGATCACCAAGTATGGTGAGGTCGGACGCTCGAATTTTGGTGGCCACTGGATGTCAGCTAGAAATAGAGGGGAAGGGTATGAAGAGGGGGACGGGAAAGGGAGGATGGTGAGGGGGAGAGGGAGAGAGGGCTGAACGCGGGAGGACGGAGGGAAGGCAGGAGGGGGAGAGGGGGGCCAGCGAGGATGCGGACCGTGAGGTACATTTGCTGCCTCCTGATGCTGTGCGGTGGCGGGGCCTCCCTGTGGACCGCTGCCCCAGGGAGGGGGCAGGCAAGCAGGCTTCGCGCATGTCCCAACCGTCCTCCTCCCTCCTCCCTCTTCAACGGAAGCGCAGTGCTGTCGGAGGACACAGTGGGCTTTGCTCAGTAACGAGTGCCACGGTGGGACCTGCGTGATGCTCCAGATTTGGACTCAGGTTGTCGGGACTGCCCACTTGCGCAGCTGCGTGTAGCAGGGAGATTCGGGGTGCGCTGAAGTGGGCGGTGTCGCGATTAAGGGCGCGCCCGCTGATGCTGTTTTGGTGAAGCTCCTTATGGTGAACGATCCGTGTGAGGGGTATGCCGAGCCGTTTGGGGGGCCTGATGCAGGCCCACCCACGGGTGTCGTAGGTGGAACTTCTTGTGGGGCATGATCGGTGTGAGGGATGTCCCGACGTTGGCGGGGGCCAGCATGGTGGCGCGCTCACTGCTAGTGCCGTGAGTAGAGCTCCCTTTGGGGCAGTGTGAGGGGCGTCTCGAAGTGGGCCGGGCAGCAGCAGTGGCAGAACAGCAGAATCGTGAAACATGGGTCGACGCAGGCGATACGCGTCGCAGGGGAGAGAAGAGAGAACGTAGTGCCCACTAACACAGGAGGGGTTGTGGAAATCCTGTGGTACGGCTGTATCTTCGTGATCTTCAGGAGGGAACTGTTGTTGGAAGGGGCGCTGTCGCGGGGGTTGGGATGCGCAAGGGCATCCTAAGGGATCGTCCTGGATGGGCTTCCGAGAGGTCCAGCACGCCCTGCCGCCACGACTGGTGGTGCGACAGAGAGGAAGCGTCTGTAAGGAAGAATGGGCAGGAGGAGAAGGAGGAGGATGAGGAGGAGGAGGAGAATAGGAGGGCGCCGACTAGGGCCCAGGAGTGGTCTATACGCCCTCCTGCATTGGCCAGTATGCACTGATTTTGGTCCAATGATGGGCCAGACCAGGTTGGAAGTACGTCTACAGTTGTCGCCCTTTTACTTCGGGACGTCCCCTTCGCCATGGGTGCGCCATGGCTTGAGGGGAAGCCTCCGCGTCAGAAGCCAGCGACCTGGCAGCGCGAGGCATGCGGATGCAATCGCAGCCTCTCGATTTGGTGGTAGTGTAAGCATTGCAATCGTCCATGAAGTACCTGCTCAGGTGAAGTGGTCGGGTCGCCAGGCGCTGCAGCTCTTGATGTGTTTGTTCCTGTTATCCGGGGCCCATAGTTCCAGCTGGCAAGGGATTGCACGAGTGGTCCGCCCTCCCTGACAAAGTTGCCTCCACTGTCACGGACGGGCTAATGATTGACACGATGGACTTGTTACACGCCATGGCCACCAACCATGGGCAGAAACACCTTGCTCAACGGTATGCTAAGGAATGGTATGGGCTGGTAGGTGATTATGCAGTAGGCCAGGGCGAACCAGCCTCGACCCTCCTAGCACACGAATGCCAGCCAGGCCCAGAACAATACCAAGCAGAGCGGGAGGCGTATTGGGTGAGAGTTGGACAAGCTGGAGTGTTGGCGACGGGACGTTGAGTCTAAGCACAAGGAGTTCGTTGCTCAAATTAATTCGAGGTCGTTTGCTGGTGACTCTCAGGCAAAGGTCGTGTCCAAGCCGCTCGCCCTCAAGGCGTTTGTCGACTCGGACGACTTCGATGTCGAAATTCATACAGTTGCAGTGTTGCCAGATGAATGTGGACTTCTCAGGGAAGATCAATATCTGGTTCTCTGCGACAAGGCCAGCCACATTGGCAGCCCAGCATTCTGAGTGGCGAATGTTCGAGGGTTCACGGGAGCACGGGAGGCCGTCACGTGTGGCGATTCGTGTCTTCACGGTTGGGGGAGCCGTGGTGAGGATGTTGAGGATAGTGATGATGACGGGGAAGATGATGATGATGATGATGATGATGATGATGATGATGATGATGATGATGATGATGATGATGATGATGATGATGATGATGATGATGATGATGATGATGATGATGATGAATGGTGATGGTGGTGATGGTGATGGTGATGGTGATGGTGATGGTGATGGTGATGGTGATGGTGATGGTGATGGTGATGGTGATGGTGATGGTGATGGTGATGGTGATGGTGATGGTGATGATGATGATGATGATGACGATGATGATGATGTTGATGATGATGATGAAAATGATGATGATGATGATGGTGACGATGATAATGGTGATGATCATGATGCTGATGGTGTTGATGATGATGTTGATGCCAATAGTGACTGTGATTATATTGTGTTGGTGATGGTGACAATGATGATGAGGATGATGATAAGGAGGAGGATGGTTATTATGATGATGCTGATGGTGCTGGTGACGGTGGTGATGACGATGGCGATGATAATGATAATGGCGATGGTGATGATGGTGATGGTGATGATGATGGTGATTACGATTATGCAGAGGACGATGACAATGGCGATGACGATGATGATGCTGATGATGTTGATGATGGTCATGATGGTGATTGTGGTGATGATGATCATTATTAGAATGATCATGACGATGCTGATGATGACGATGCTGATGATGATGGTGAATGTGAGGGTGATGGTGATGGCGATGGTTGTGATGATGATGACGGTGATGATGTTGATACTGATGCTATGTTGACGATGATGATGAAAAGCATGATGATGATGCTGATGATGCTGATGATGATGTTGATGAGGATGAGGATGATGATGATGATGTTGATGATGCTGACGGTGATCTTGATGATGATGGTGATGATGATGATGGTGATGGTGATGATGATGACGATGAAGATGATGACCAGATCAGGTCAGGTCATATCAGATCAACTTCATGGGCCCCTAGGATCGGGCTACACCGGAGCGTCAGTTTGCGAGGCGTGGCCGTGCACCGTCGCGACTCGCAGCCAGGAAGAGCCCTGCCAATGTCGCGCTCCACCCAGAAAACGCAGAGCAGCACTCATATCAGCACCGCTCCACTACGCAGAAAACTCCTGAGAGGACCGTGAGGCTCCACCTAATTACCACTTCTCACGGCCGCTCCTGATCACTACTTGTATAGTGGGCTCCTCGGGTCTGGGGGGCTTCTTGGGACCCTCGACGCAGCTGAAATCTCCGCGCGCTTCCGATCCGCAAGGCTTTCGCTCGCAGGACGTCGGACTGGGCCCTCCTCCCACCATCTGGCCCTTACAAGAAGAATCTGACGTGAGCGGCAGCTCTGACATTATAGGAGGGAGAGGGGAGAAGGCACGGAGGGAGCAGGTAAAAACACTTGGGCGGTTCGGCTGGCGTTGCTAGGGGGGCTGAAGCGGCAAAGGCTCGGAAGACGGTGGCTCGAAAGGGGAAGGAGTAGGGGGTTCCAGGATAGGTTTGCAGGCTTCTTGGCTCAGGTTTCTTACTAACTGCTCATGTATCCGTTTCTTTTTTATATGGTGTCATTCTCACTTTACCATCATGCTCTCGAGATCTTGCAACCCTGTGTGGATCAGCTTCTCTATGTGGCCCATGGGGGCCGCTCCCTGCTTGTAGTCGGCCCCGATCTGGATCAGCGTCAGAGACGCTAGTGCCAGTGCCATGTTGAGGGTTGAGGCGGCTGCTGAAGGCCATTTGAGGCGCTCTTATTCCCCAATCAGAGCTTGCCTCTGTAGGGGTCCTAGCGGATTCATATGGTTAGGTTAGGTTTGTCGCCGAGTTTCGCTGCACGCCCGGGTGCCCGGATGCCCGGGGGTGCCCGGGTGCCCGTGGGGGGCCCAGGGGGGCCCAGGGGGGCCCGGGTGCCGGGGTGCCCGGGCGTGCCAGGGGGTGCCTGGGGGTGCCCGGGGGTGCCCCATAGCTTTGTAGCCCTATAGCCCAATAGCCTTATAGCCCTACAACTCGATAGCCCTATAGCTCTATAGCCCTATAGCTCAATAGCCCTATAGCCCTATAGCCCCCTAGCCCTGTAACCCTGATTGGGTTTTTCTCCGGTATCACTTGATAATTGGTAATTTGCTCAAGGTTTTGGGAGCGTGATTTGAGAGGCATGCTTCCCACGGGTCCTGAGATTGATCCAGAGGGATAGTCATGGGATTTGTCTTTGAGACAACTTCTCGCATCTAGTACACTGCGAACGTGCTCTGGTGCGTGCCTAACTCCTCGAGCTGCTCCTGGTTGGTTCTGCCCGCCGCCATTCACTCTGCCACTGGTCCCTCGTGCACGCCCGCGTAGCACGCCACCGAGATCGTGCCCATGTCCGCCATCTGCTTCGCCGCTTCGGCCCTGGGGAGCGACGCTCTGAATCCGTCCGCTGCTCTGATCCACGTCTTGGTGCGGGCCCACGCCTTCACTGCCGCCTGCGCTCCCGCTGACACAATGAACGTTTCCATCCCGATGGCCTCCAGCTGTCTCCGTCGTAGTGCGATGTTGAGAATGGGCTTCGTCATCACGGGGAAATGCTTCTGTATTGCCTGGGTGACAATCAGGTCGCCGTCGAGCTCGGACGTGTCCACGATCTTGGGATCCGTCTTCCTCGAGCCATTCTCTCTTTCTTGCCTTTTGCCTGCCGCCGACGTCGCTGTTCCACGGCCACCTCTGGCGGCCGCCTCGCGCACGGGCTCGCCCACGTACTGCAGCGCCGCTGGTAGCGCCTGCAGCCACGACGACATGCGACTGAGGCCGCGGAAGATGCACTGGCACCAGATACTGCTGAAGGGTCGGGAGTTCCGCGAACTCAGTAGCACACTCGGCGTCTGGGCAAACAAACCTGCTGCGATGGAACGAAAGGGTAATTGAAGGTATATTTCTGAGCGATATACCTCCCGTGTCTGTATGCGGCTGTGATGTGATTGATAGTTGTCCTACGACATGCTACTTAGTGAACGTGTTCAGCTGTCCGTGCCCCCCTCCTCCACTATTTGTTTGGTGTGCGCGTAGTGCGTGCACCCTGCGAAACCTGTGACCACAGTCCAGGCTTTCTCTATTGAGAAGGGTACAAAGATGCTCGCCCTCGCGGCACTTCTGGTGCTCATACTGCCCAGTGAGGGTC